AAACGTTGGTTTTCACGAGACTCACCGGCGCATGCACAGCACTGAACTCATATGTCATGCCCACTATTGGACTTTTTTTCTTACAAAAACGCATCGATCCGCTACATGAGGCCTTTGTTCACCCCCCGGAGCCGTGTGAGATGCTTTTTTTAATGGATGGGTGCTTTTTATTTAACTTCTTTTGGACTAATGCATGCAACACCCGCTGAGTGGCATTAAACAGCTTGAAAGATCAAAGACAATTTTTAATATAACTCCGACTGGATTCGTCTGAAAGAAGAAAGTCATATACACCTAGGATGGTTCTGGGGTGAGTAAAACACAGCCTAATTTTCACTTTTGGGTGAACTAACCCTTTAAATATCAGGAAAGGTATCTGTAAAACGATTATCGGTTGATCTCGAGTTATACTCACTGACAGACCACAGCTGCGCTTCAGCTGAGAGTGGATAACATGTTAGCCATGCTGCACCTTGTTCCTTGTCTTCAGAGAACAGTGTTGCATATATAGCGTCACATTTTCCAAACATGCTCATTAGGGGAGAGACAAAGTCATTAAGGTCCTACCATTAAGACGCCGAGGGACCACCAATCAGCACTCTGCGTGTGACCTCTTCTGTTGACCACCTCAGGGGACATATACTCCACAGTGCCACAGAACGAGTACGCTTTTTTGTCCTGATCTACTGATTCTTTACTGAGCCCAAAGTCTGGAAAAGGCACAGCAGCACATCTGTCACATCTGCATCACCAAGCTAAACCAGGGGTGTCCAACTCTGCTCCCGGAGTCCCTGTCCTGCAGAGTTTATCGAGGATTATGTGAAAACTACAGGCAGGAGCTGACAGCCCTCCAGCAGCAGAGCTTGACAAACAACCCCATCATGACACAAACACACCACACATGACTCAATAATTTTAGAGAATTCAGGGTGAGACGCTAACAGTAGATGTCAAACATTACAGAACTGCCTGGTATCTACATGCACTAGTTCAACCGGCAGAAAAGTGATGTGTAATAAGGGTACGTACCTGTTAACTTGATATGTCCAGCTTCATCAAGCAAAATGCTGAAAATTAAGACCACATTTCTCCAATACATATACAAAAATACATGAACTAAACAAGAGTCAACAAACAACATCCAAAACCTCTCGATTACAATCTTGAACATTGGTTCTGTCAGATATATCCATCCTTATTTAATAAAAGATAAAAAAAGAGGGCAGGTGAAAGCCAGAGACGGAGACAGAGAGAGAGTGGTTTCTACTCTACACACAGAGAGAGAAGCGGAGAGGTGAAGGGGGATACTTTACTTTTCAGGCTTCAGGTCTCTGTAAACAATGCCTAGGTTGTGTAGATGATCCAATGCAAGGGCCAGCTCTGCAAGGTAGAATTTCACATCCTCCTCTGTAAACATAACCTAGTAAGAACTGGACAGATTTACTCTCGCATCAAAGATCACACACAACAACATAATGCACAGCATCATCATGACAAAGATGGAAAGGTTCTGAATGTCGTGTTTATATGAAGCCTAAACGATTCACATGTACATGTAAATTGTATGCATTCTAAACAAAACTTCAGCTCATGCACAGTGCCCAGTTGCCACATTCAGAAATTGTGGTTCTGGAGCACAAAACCAGTCTTAAGTCGCTGGGGTATATTTGTAGCAATAGCCAAAAATACATTGTACGAGTCAAAATTATTGATTTTTCTTTTATGCCAATGCCATGAAGATATTTTGTAAATGTCCTACTGTAAATATATAAAAACTTAATTTTTGATTAGTAATATGCATTGCTAAGAACTTCATTTGAACAACTTTAAAGGCGATTTTTTCAATATTTAGATTTTTTTGCACCCTCAGATTCCAGATTTTCATATAGTTGTATCTCGGCCAAATATTGTCCTATCCTAACAAACCATACATCAATGGAAAGCTTATTTATTCAGCTTTCAGATGATGCATGAATCCCAATTTTAAAAAATTGGTTTTGTGCTCCAGGGTCACATATCTGATTGTTGCCACGTATATCAGAAGAGCTTTGTTTTTTTTAAAGCAAATATTTAAAATTTTTAGTAAATATTCAGTCTCCTCCACTGACCAGTTCATAAGATGTATATACATATACACACGCTTGAAAGACATAAACTGTAATTAAATGTGCATGAGGTATTTTTGAATCTGATTTTGAAAACAGTCAGATTCAAGCGGTTACATTCTTAATTGTTCCTGTTGATCTGATTATTACAGGTCTATGCCTTTTCTTTCAATCAGAACAATTTTATTCAGATCGAGCTCAATCAGATCGACTGCAGTGTTTACATGAAAACTTTTCAATCCGATTGAGCCATCAATACAATTATTAACTACAGCCCTATAGGAATTTGTTTGGCTGCATGTCAACGTAGTTATTGTGTGTAAGTTGCTGTATCAAATATGCCTCAATCTCTAATGTAAGAGTTCAATTAAACGCCACATTAGAGCCACAGTAAACTCTGCAGTATGTGGCCTTGTTTGCCTGGTGATTGTGCACATGAATCAACATGGTCAATAAGTACAGTACAAATGTACAAATAAATAAACAGAAACAGTATATATATATATTAGTGATGCGCGGATGGCGGTTATATCCGCGGGCGCTGCGGATAATCCGCGGATCGGGTGGGTCGGGTAATAAAAAAAATGCATTCTGATTATTTGCGGGTGGGTAAAAATAAATCATTAATGATGCAAGTATTAACTACATTTTCTAAATTATGAACGTGTTTTAAATATGCTACAGAAATTGAATAAACTGTAAATTAACATTAAAAGTTATTCAACAAAACATTATTTAGTCAAGAGCAGTAAGGGATTTTCTCTGTCTTTTGTTGTTTGATTAACATTAATAAAAGACGGCACAGCTTTATTAGGCTGCTGTCACAAGACTTATTTCACGGATCCAATACTGATACTGTGACTGTGAGCGCACGCGCCTCTGGAGAGCGTGAGTACCGAATGGCTTAAAAAGACGTGAAAATAATACATTTTTGTGACGATGCAACAATGACCAATGAACAATGATTAGGCAATTGACAATTCTGTCAACTGTCCCGAAACGTGAGCTAAAGTCTTTTATCGCAGCGTGCAGCAGCTCTAGATGCGTCGATGTGAAGCGAAAGTCAAAGAGAGGATACGCGGGACAGCTGAATCACCTACGCTGTTTTCATCTGATGGTTTGTGTGGATTTGTTTACTCATCTAACCTACACGCTATATTGAATGAAGGTTTTGCAGTAATTTCCCTCATTTTAAAGTCGAAATGTATGTGCAATCCCGTAACGAAATTCAGGATCTGATTAAACATAATTCTATTATACAGAGAATTGTGAAATAGATTTTCATGACTTTTCAAAAACTGTTTGAGTTTATTTATTTTTACAAATCTCTATAGGCCTGGAAATTGCTGTTCAATGACTTTTCCAGGTTTTTCATGACTGTACGAACCCTAATGTGGTGATCGGGTGCGGGTTGGGTGAGGTTATCTAAATCAGACAAAAATACAGGTGCGGGCGGTTGGCGGGTGGACTGAATCACCTACGCTGTTTTCATCTGATGGTTTGTGTGGATTTATTTACTCATCTAACCTACACGCTATATTGAATGAAGGTTTTGCAGTAATTTCCCTCATTTTAAAGTCGAAATGTATGCGCAATCCCGTAACGAAATTCAGGATCTGATTAAACATAATTCTATTATACAGAGACTTGTGAACTAGATTTTCATGACTTTTCAAAAACTTTTTGAGTTCTTTTATTTTTACAAAACTTTCTAGGCCTGGAAATCACCGTTCAATGACTTTTCCAGGTATTTCATGACCGTACGAACCCTAATGTGATGATCGGGTGCGGTTATCTAAATCAGACAAAAATACAGGTGCGGGCGGTTGGCGGGTGGATAATTTACTTGAAGCTGCGGATTCGGGTGACGTTTTAGCTCATCCGCGCATCCCTAATGTAGAGAGAGAGAGAGAGAGAGAGAGAGAGAGAGAGAGAGAGAGAAT